CAATTTTTGAAACAATGACTACAATATGTGTGTATTGTGGCGTCACGTTTCTTTAGAGTCATACTCATTTCTTAATAATGCTAGAAAAATACGAAAATTAAGTTAATCATAAAATCAATTAATGAAAGCGTGATTATTTTTTAACATTTTATTGTATTGAACAGTGGAAATCATTCATTTTTGATTTAGGAAAGTACCCAATTTGTTACCTAATTAACTTTTCGATTGGCTGAAGTAAGAGAGCTTGTATCATTTCTCATACAAGTAGATACTTGTACAAAAATTCTAAAATTCTAACTTAGGAGATACTAAGTTTTTGTTTAAGGAATTTTTTGTCCCCTCAAAAGTATACAAAATAAAAGGCCAAAGTAAGGAAAATACACGGTACAGTGGCCAGCAGATCAACATAAGCTGTCAAATTTAATTATGGACTTTATGTCAATACAACAAAGTTGAAGATGTAATAGAGAAATTTGATAGAAAAGTATAGGTTGACTAGCTGCCCACCGTACATCATACATTATTCTTCATCATCATCAGCATATAAATGCCCACTGCTGACCAAAGGCCTCTACTCACAAGTCTAAGATTTGAGCATTAATCACCACGCTTGCTCAAGGCGGATCGGTGATTTCAGACTTATAATTAGAAAATTATAAGCCTAGGTTTCCTCACGCTGTTTTTCTTCACACGTATGTAACTGGTATCTTCTTTTTTGATTTGGGGGCGGAAAATCATCCAATGACTTCTCCCGCCCAGGTGAGGCGAGAGGGAGTGTCAGACTCTTACTGACTAAAAACTACCCCGTTCCTTCTCCTGCATTTCGAGCCGGAGCCCCGGCAACCCGTTAAGTCTTCCGCGGCTCCGTATCGGCATCAGCCCTGTTGGGCCCCCTCACGCGCTCCGCCTCCTCCTTAGCTAGCATGACTGCTTCGCTAATGGAGGGGACGCGAGAGGTCGCCGTCGCCGATCACATTCCTGAGGACACGGCGGTGCTCAGTCCACGCAGGACACACTGCCACCGTATGCTCCACCGTGTCCTCACGGCGATCCTCGCAGTGATGACACCCGGGCGTTTCCTCCCGCCCAATCCGAAACAGGAACCTACCGAAAATTCCGTGTCCGGTAAGCCCCTGCGTCTGGCGGTAGGTGAGGACGCCGCAGCGTCTCACAAGCCACTCCTCAAAGAAGGGACTTACCGCTGCAATGACAGCGAGCCCAACTAAAAGGAGCCCTGGCAACCCATTAAGTTCACCTAGTGTCTAAAGAAGAACCTTAGAATACACTTACCAATAATAGTGATCATCCACACCATGAAGTAGGAGTAGAAGGAGATCCACAGCATGCTGATGATGAAGGTGACGGGGTACCATCGTCCGCGGCAGTCCGGCATCGTATGGCGACACGACCAGTGGATCGGGAACACTAGGTACCACCACGCTAGCTGGAAGTGGTCTGTAAGGGACACAACGTTAGGTTTCTGTTGAGAGAAAGCAGAAGGAACGAAATGATGAAAAATAGTTATTGATTATATCAGACTCTAAGGGATTTTGTCAAATTATTTTTTGTCTTTAAAACGTTGCCTACACTAAGATTTTCTCCTGTGTCGTATCGTGGGTTTACAAATATACAAGTTCACACACACAAGATACCCAGACCCGAAACAACAATTTATGAATCACACAAAGAGTTGCTCTATGCGGGAATCGAACCTGCTACACACTGCGCAGTAGCCAGCCACCGCAACAACCGTTGAGTTGTAGAAAATTAAAAGCTTTTATTTCAATAAATACCTAAACGCTCTAATCCTTAGGTGAAGTGTCGAAATTGAATTGTCCGTCAGTCTGTCCATCAGTGAAGCTAGGTTAATAGGTAACTAGCTAGCTAGTTTCCAGACTGCGTGTTACTACTGAGATTTATTTTAAGAAAACCCAGTAATACGTTGCCTGGCCCGGGAATCGAACCCGAGACCCCTTGCCGTACTCGCACTTGCGGCCATTCGGCCAACGAGGCAGTTGGGATTCGATTCGATTCAAAATCTAAAAGGTTAAAAAGAAAATTTTCTTTGATTTAATAACTTTATACATTAACCAAACATCGTTACTGCTACATTTAAATCATGATGTATTTAAAATCTAAAGAATAAATATAGAGATATCTTCTTGCATTTTGACCAAACACTAGTTTATTCTATAGATAGAAATGCTAAGAACTTAGAGATGACAATGACTGAACCGATTGACTGACAAACACTTACTGGCTCCGATTGGTTTGACGAGAGGATCCACGGCGGTCTCAGGGTTGTACTCCTTGGCCTTGTAGTAGGCGGGGGCTGCTGGCTGCAAGTTACAAATTGAGGATAAAACGCCCGAATATTGAAAGACTACTGTAACGCAGCAATTCTAGGTTTGGGCGAGCAATGCTTCGGCACGAATGGGCCGGTTCGACCGGAGTGATACCACGGCCTCACAGAAAACCGACGTGAAACAACGTTTGCGTTGTGTTTCGTCGTAAGCGAGGTTACCGGAGGCCCAATTACTCCCCTCCCTAGTCTCCCGAATCCCCAAATCCTCCACAATCCTCAAATTCCCAATTCCCAAAATGGCGGTAACGCACTTTTAACGCCTTGGTGTTTCGGGTGTCCATGGGCGACGCCGATTGCTTACCATCAGGATCCGTCTGCTCGTTTACCGGCTTATGCTATTAAAAAAAATCGATTCCGTTTTGTGTCGGACGCACGCGCGCAACTTTACTGGCAACACATCTCACTATTCCTCTGCCCCCGTTTCCCCGCCACTGATCGCTCGACGCTGGCGTGGAGGAGCGACACAGAACAACGAACCCGCGTCGGAGCCGTGACGTACGCGCTCCGTATTTGTACCGCGAATATTTAAGTTTTAGTCTACCTATTGTATTATTGTGCAACTGTGTTGATATTTAGTTTAACATTTTTCAATATACAAGTTTACAGTCAATCGTGTGTCGAACTTTGTTCCACGCCCCTGAGAACCCAAAATGACATTACATAAATATCGACCTATCTCTGTCATTTTACATAGAATTCCAAGTGACAGAACTATAGTTAAGCGCGAATTAAAATTGAGTTGGTAACTTTTCAATATTGGGTCGTAAGACGATTGTATACTATTATATGTATAAAGCTGAAGAGTCTGTCTGTTTGGTTGAACGCGCCAATCTCCGGAACTGCTGGTCCGATTTGAAAAATTATTTCTGTGTTGGATAGCCCATTTATCGAGGAAGGCTATGGCCTTCCTCCATGTTTTATAGCATATGTGCTATAAAACATCACGCTGCGATCAATAGGAAACGTTCAAACCGGGTGAAACCGCACGAAAGTAGGTAGTTTTTTATAAAAACAAAAAAAAATTAAAACGTCGTTCCAGTTGCATATTCACTTGAGTCATGGGAGCGTTTTACCATCATAATCGTGTAAGTATACAACAGAGTGTTGCACGAACCTGTTGCGTCGGTAGTTGTCCGTCCGGTTGTTGCGGTTGCGTGGTTGCAAGTTGTTGCTCCTGCGGCTGTTGCTGTGTCTGTTGCGCGGGCTGGTACGCGTTGTAGATTGGTGTTTGCATCTGAACAAAGATTTATAATAGGTACTAATTAACTTAATTAAGATATAGTAAGGCAAAGAACCGACTTAACCTTCTTTTTTATATATAAACTACTCTCTAAGTGACAAAATACCTTACTGGACAACGCATCAAAATAGGTCCAGCCAATCGCGAGATAATACATATAGCTCAAAACTTCTTTGTTTGAAGTCGTTTAATAACAGGCAACATAATTAGGTTCATGAACGGTATTTTAGTATTTCATTAGTATTTTTTTATATTAACCATGACAACTAAGATAAGTGACTAAATAAATATGCAGTTACCGTATCGTCCCAAGCTCGGTTGGGGTCCCAGGCCTGGTTGGGGTCCCACGCGGGGGTGGGCTCCGCGTTATAAGCTGCATTGTCATACGCACCGCCTGGATTGTAGGCTGCTGGGACAAAGATACTTATTAATATTTTAATCATATATACAAGGTGTAGTTTTCAAACCGTGTCATTTCTCGGGGGCATGTGACAGAAGTCATAAAGGTTCATTGTAAGAGAAGATTTCGGGCCAATAGTTAAAAGTACGGCTATAATAAATCGTTTAAGTTCGACAATATTTCAGAATAAGCGACAGCAATGTATCTTATTGGAGTTTTATGGAATTAGGAATAATATTAATTACGTGTTTGAGTTTGTGTGTGTTAAGCCGCGTTATAAAGCTAGTTAAAAAACGGCGGCGTGTACTTCGCACTTACGGATTTTCGGAATTTCAGAAAAATTAAAAATATTTACCAACAATTTTTTTTTATTGATGTGGACTCAGAATCGATATCTGAGTTACCTACTAGAAAATGGCGCGACTTTAAAACAACACCTTGTATAACAGCCTAAAGTGGCCACTGCTGACCAACGGCCTCTTCTCACATTGACGCACTAAATAGATTTTTAATTTTCGTACCTTGTTATCATCCTTATTGGATAATATGCAAAACTTATCAAGTATTTATTTTGCTCTGTCATCAGCCTACTGCTGCTTAAGGTAGAACTTAAAACTTATAGTTTCAAATTATAAGTTTCAAGAGTTGTACGACGTTTTCTTTCACCACGTTGTTAGATGATTATGATTTTTTTTGTAAAAAACTTGAACTGTGATTTGCAGTTTGAAGTGTTGACATTGATAACCCTAATAAAATTGTTATAAATTTGGATTAACTTTAAAAACTCACGAGATTCCTGAAGAGGAGTCTCCTTGGTCTGTCCGTCCATCTGTGCGTACGTAGTGTCTCCTGCCGCGGCCGGGGCTGGGGGCTGACCACCAGCACTCCTATATTGTAACAAAACGAAATATCAGTCATAATAATTATTCCAACTACAAACAACTAAGAAGAGGGAACTTAACGAGTATTGTATTAAAACATGTATGTTGTAATATAAAATAAAATAAATAAAATTTTACTGAGTAAAGAGTATAACTTTTTCCCTTTTTTAATAATCTTCGTATCTGTGTGCGTGCTTACTGTCGAATGCCTTTTCTTTGTTTTTTTAATTCAACTGACCCATCATGGGCGCCAATAATAATTTGGCGCCCAACACGGGACCAACATTTTTAGTAAACATTTTATTTAACTGCTGAAATTCATAATTAATTGGAAAACCTGTCTTCCATTGGGGTAAACAACGTCAATGGAAAGCCATGATAATTCTGGCATACCTCTATCGCTTTATCTATATTCATCAATATCTTCATTCATCCTAGTCATTTGAGAGTGCTTTTAATTTGGCCCTTGGGAAACAAGCAGATGGATCGCCTAATGGTAAGTAATTGGCACCACCCATGGAAACCCACTATATCATAACCATAGGCAACAAGTGTGTTGCCGACCTTTTGAGAGCTAAGGATTTTAGATTTGAGGTTGAAGAGACAAGGGAGGGGAAGAATTTGGCTTCCGGTAACTTTATGGCGAAACACTATGCTAGCATTTACACGCCGGTTTTCTTTGAGTCGTGGTATTACTGCCGTAGAACTTATGCCCATTTGTACTGAATTAAGTCTCTCCTACACTTTGTCTTTTCATGTATGCTCGTTCATTGAGGGCGCTTTAAAATGGTCCAGTGATTCTAAATACTAACCTGTAGGTGACTAAAGCAGCCTGTTCTTCTCTGGTGGGTAGCTTGAATGGTAGTGGGAGCGTCATCGCCCAGCGTTCGAGTGCAGTGTTGAATCGCAACGCGACACAGTATACACCATACATTATCAACATGAATAGTGCTTCTGGCCTGTGAACATAGAGATTAATTTTGAATTTACAATGAAATGAAGTTTGTAATTTATAATGAAAATATTATATTGTTTCTTTCCGTTTTCTCTTTCTACTGTCTTATTATAAGTGAAGATATTGTTGGTTACAAATGACTGCCTTGTTGGCCGAGTGGTCTCGGGTTCGATTCCCAGGTCGAGCACAGTATTATTGGTTTTCTTTTTAAAATGGTATATGGCTCAACCAATCAAACCAACATGGGACTCATAACATAAATAGTGAAAAGTGGGTGTTACATTGTAGGTATAGCGGAATTAACCCGTCGTGTGTCTAAACGGGGATCCACGCGAGACACAATGTATTTTTTATTGTGTCTCACATCAGTGCATTCAAGCGGGTAAGTGCCGTAATATGCACGATGTTATAATATAGTTGGTACAAATCTATCAAGTTGAAAAGATAAATTTCTATCCTCTTTTGCAAACTGTAATGAATGCCAGTTTTCATTGGTTGTAATATAAAAACAAAAAAGGAAATGTTGCCCCATATCACTACATAGTATAAAACAAAGTCGCTTTCTCTGTCCCTATGTCCCTTTGTATGCTTAAATCTTTGAAACTACGCAACGGATTTCGATGCGGTTTTTTAATAGATAGAGTGATTCAAGAGGAAGGGCTTATATGTATAATACATGCATATTGCACCCGTGCGAAGCCGGGGCGGGTCGCTAGTTAATTATAAATTACAGACCTACACAACTAATGCAAATATTAGGTATAATTATGTTAAAATTATAAAACTAATTACAAAACCGATATTTTTATATATCGGTTGTATATTATTGTATTTTAATTGTTGAGAAGATTACATATCAACCAAATATAGTTGTGAAAATTTTCAAATGGCGCAACTAGATTTGACTTAAAACATTTGTAAGATGTTTAAACACCCAGAAAACAATACATACCAAGAGACGATGGAGTTGGCAATAGTACAGAGCATGACGAGTATGGAGATGGCGTAGAAGAAGCAATCTCTGCAGAGTGGCCACCAGTTGAGGTGTGACACTGTCCCAGCACACAGCGCACACACCGATATCACGAACATTATGTTGAACACTGCTGACCCGATTACACCCGATACTCCTATATAAAAATAGCCATTATTCAGTATAATTTATATTATCATCGTTTCCGTCATTAGTTAAAATAAGTACATATTGCATGATCACCTAATGATAAACAATTCGCGTCGCCCATGGAAACCTGGAACACGAGGGCGTTACAAGTGCATTACCGGCCTTTTGAGGATTGTTGGAGATTCAGGGATTGGGGAGATCGGGGAGAGGGTAATTGGGCCTCCGGTAACCTCATTCACACGACGAAACACAACGCAAGTGTTGTTTCACGTCGGTTTTCTGTGAGGTCGTGTCACGTCAGTCAACCCGGCCCATTCGTGCCGAAGCATGGCTTTTCCACATTTTAACATTGTTGTACATTGCTACAATAGTCACTCTTAACTCGTCTAGTACCGGTTTTGTAGACACAATTATAGAACAATAGGTTGCGGTCACCGGTGACCGATTGGTGTTTTACAGTTTAACAAGGCATTCTCAGCAGTTTGCTTTGTTACTTTCGTTAAATGATATGAGGGCCAAATACTAGTCGTATAACCTCATGGCAAGCATTTGGCTATCTATGGACACCGGTTATACTAGACGATTAATGGAGGAGGAAGATGGAGGAGGATATGGAGGAGATTAATGGAATATAAGTACCTACTTTGTTAGCAGTTTTGGAAACTTGAACAATTATATTTGAACTTGGGTAGTAGTTGATGCGATTAATGAATAAACATGTTTGAAAATCATATACAGCTAGTTCTAAACTTGGTCAATTTGCTTACCGATATCGTCCTGAGCACAGAAGACGCCGATGACGACGGTGGCGAGTTCGGGAGCCGAGCTGCCGGCCGCCATGAACGTAGCACCCGCCACGTCCGGGGCCAACTTCAATTCTATGCACATGTTAATACATAAAGTAGTCATAATCATAGGAAATTAAATCTTCCACGCTTGGCAGACTATGTTGGAATCGCAGCAAGATTATTGATGAGAAGCTTTTCTGTTTTGTCTCATGCTTCTAAATCACTGAATGTTTTAATTGTTTCCTATTGAAATAAATATTTTTTGGGCTATAAGCAACAAATTATTTAACGTATATGTATTTCTTACTATTGTTCTTAGTATAACTTTAATTCACAAGTACCTTCACAGATTCTGTCAAGACTTGAGACGAAGTACTCGTCACATACGATGGCCAGTCCGATGAACGTGAACACAGCTACCAAGATGTGGATGATTAAACCTCCGTGCTTGCGGGCTGACTGGCCCATCAGTGGTTTTGGGAACTAGAAAAAGAAATAAGCGTGATGTTAGCTTTAGAAGATTTATGTTTAAGAAATCATCATGAGCCTGTATTTGATTCAATGCTGAGCAAAGATTGTGGTAAAACCTACTATTTTTAATTTAATAAGGTTGGCTTTTGACTGGATTTTTATATAACAGTAAGTTTTACTGTTATAGAAACGGTTCCATTAAAGAAACGATTTATTTATCTTCCTATACTATTATATGCATAAAGTTTGTTTGTTGGTTTGAACGCGCTAAGCTCAAGAACTGCTGCTCCGGTTTGGAAAAATATTTTTGTGTTGAAACAGTCCATTTATCGAGGAAGACTAAGAATATAATCAATAGGGGCCGAGCAGAGCGGGTGAAACCGGAAAGGAGGACCACGTAGGTAGCTAGGTTATAATAAATAAATTACCTGTTCAATCGCCGGTGGTGAACAATTGACTCGCAAAGGTTTGACCGTGGGGTTCGATTTCCAGTTTGATCTCTCTTCCTCGCGCATTTCTTCCGTTTCTTTGTCCTGTGAGATGAAAAAAATTACTATTGTCAAAAAAAACGATGATGAAAAAAAGTGACTATTGTCAATCTATTTTTTTTGTCGAATGCCGTCAACTGAGGTGATGGGATACTTGTTATCCCGATTAAATACTCCCAAGTGATAAAACAGGGGTGTAAAAGTCGTGGTGGCCCGGAGGTTTAAGACGCCCTCTTCTCATGTATGAGGATGCAGGTTCGAAACCTACCAACGGCTTGTACCAATGTGACTTTTTCCGAGTTATATGTACTTCCTAAGGTTATCTAGACACCACTGACATACGGTGAAGGAAAAACATCGTGGTGTTTGCTTATGAGCGAAACTAGAGATCGTTACAACCAAGTCATAATTTTTTTAATACTTACGTATCGATATTATAATTCGAATACGATATGTCGATCGATATGTCAACATTTATTAATAATTTGTACTCATAATAAAATAATATGAAAACACGTGTTGTTCGTCTGAAGATTTACGTCGGAAAATCGGAAAAAACATTACAACTACATGAGTATTTTAATTTTAACTACGTAAATATCAATACTATAATAAATTGGGTACTTTCCTTAATCAAAAATAAATTATTTTGACTGTTCAATACAATAAAATAATAAAAAATAATCACACTTTCATTAATTAATTTTAATGACTAACTTAATTTTAGTATTTTTCCAGCAAATATGTACAAAATAAATACGCCGTTTGACGTTAAAAAACGTGACGTCACAATACATTGTGTATCGTACAAAATTCATAGAAAACTGTCGTTTTGACAGTTCGTAAAAAGTATTGAATTTGACTAGTTGGCAAGTACCCAAATATAATCAATTACCAAATTAATTAAAAACGCGGGTTACTCACGTGAATATACTAAGAAAACCTCTAGTTTCGAGCCACAGAGTTGCTCTTCCTCTGAGGAAGTATGTCTTACGATAATTATTATAAAACCATTACTTTTATCGCTACCAACTTATGTCTATTTACTTCTAATTACATACAACTCCTACTTTAAATAGACAGTATACCTTACAGTAGGCACATTGGTTGAATATAAATGACAGTTTTCTTCTGTACCTCGTTCTTCTAACCTGAGGGAGTTTGCAAACTTTACCATCTACAACTTGTCCAAGTTAATATTGAAACACACCTAGGGTCTATTAAGGGCTTAATACGAGAACGTTTCATGTATTTTTTTATGGAATAGGAGGGAAACGAGCAGACGGATCACCTGGATAGCGTCGTGGTGATTGCCGGTCTTTTAAAACGGAATACGCTCTTTTCTTAAACGTTTGAAGGTCGTATCGATTCGGAAATACCGAGATATAAATACAAATACCGTTTAACGCGACCGCGTTCGATGCTCTGATTGGTCGGCTCCAATGAACCAGCCAATCAGAACGCCGAACGCAGTCTCCTTTCGATCTCGTTAAATGTAAAACGAATTCTTACTAAGACCACGGTAATATTGTTATACAGTAATGTAACTCAGTCGCATGACAGAGTTAAATACCTACAGCCGCACGGTACATACCTAAAGAGTCGTTAGGGCTGCCCGTCTCCAGCATTTTAATTACATTTGCCTACTTTCTGTTTCTATTTGGTAATGTGATCGTATCTAAATACCTTTATCATTTTTTTATTTAACTCGTCGAGTACCGGTTTTGTAGACACAATTATAGAACAATAGGTTGCGGTCACCGGTGACCGCTTGGTGTTTGACAGTTTAAACAAATAAATTACGTTGTATATTAAATAGGAAGTGTTCAATAAAAATGCTTGTTGTTCTTTGCTTGGTAGATTTAATTTGAAAAAAAAAAACATGTTTGCATTTGAAAACTAAATTGAGCTCATAAATTTGCGACCGAAAAATATTAGCAAAAAAATACGACCAAAACAACATAATATTTCCTACTCGTCATATGAAATATGTACACAAACTGATTTTTAAACAAAAAATCGCGCGATTAATGTATAAAAAACGACACACAGCGACAGCCCGTTCGTCACTGCGGCACAGTCGCGACTGTTATCATGCCGAATGCATGCCACGGTCGAGGCGCGTAGGCATAGCTTGCGTTTCGTCCGTTTGTATGAAGTTGGAATACTGTATGATAATATTACCGTGCTGCGGTACAGCCGTGACTGTCTGCGGCCCGAGCCCCGAACGCACCCCGACATCGAGGCGCGTAGGTATGGCTCGCGTTTCGTCCGTTTGTTTGAATTTGGACTACTATATGATATCATTACCGTGGCTTTAGTACGAATTCATTTTACATTAATCGATAAGGCCTACGAATGTATGCAGTCTACAAATGAAGATAGGCGGATTTGTATGGCGAGTGACAAACTCGACGTTGGCGCTCCGTGGACACAGCTTTGTTTGCTTCTACGCAAACTGCAAGCATTCGTCTTACAACCGTCAATAAAGACAAACGTATTTTTGCTAGTTTGAAGTAAAAAATCAATATTTTAATACATTACAGCAAAAAGTTTATTCCAATCAGCTTCACCAGAAAACCGGATAATGCTTTTCCAAACTCTTTTTAACGTAGCACCACTATGATTTCTGTTATATTTTGACGATAGCCTAAACATTTTAAGTGTCTCTAACAATATACTTAAGAGTATTTCATACCTCAACATAACCGGCATCCTTTTGGTCCTTCTTGTCTGGGTCGTCATCTTCTTCGAGCCCCTTCATGCCCTTCTTGCCGCCTGCCGGGGGACCTTCTTCATCTTCTGTCTTCTTCTCCGATGGTGGTGTATTGGGGGCCGAGGATAGTGGGCTCTCATCTGGAAAGGTATGATTGTTAAATTATATTAAGGTGACGAAAGAGGTGTCTATAGCGTCTCTGTTAACATTAGTTTAATCAACACTATTCTTAAATGTTAAATCTTGAAGCTTTAGAGCAAGAAGATTGTGTTGAAGAGCCCAAGAAGATTGACTAGGAGACAATGCCCAAGGCATTAAGTTGACCTGTATTAAGATATCATTTTTTTATTGGATCTTGTATTAAGATAAATTAAATAAAAAAAAAAACAAATCATTTTTCTACAATCAGGTATTCGATATATATATAAGCCGGTAAACGAGCAGACGGATCACCTGATGGTAAGCAATCGGCGTCGCCCATGGACACCTGGAACACCAAAGGCGTTGCAAGTGCGTTATCGGCCTTTTGGGGAGGAATTTGAGGGTTGTTGGGGATTCAGGGATTGGGGAAGGGGCTACCGTCGAAGGTCGTTCGTTTTTCGAATTCGTCGTGTACCCAGATGAGAAGAGATAACTGCGATCATTGTATTTTAAGTAAGCCTTTGACTGCCGACAGATAACCGTTGGAAGGCAAATCATTCACTAAGCGTCGGTGACTGAAGTTTCGGTCAACGTATTTTAGTATGCTCTTACCAATAGTAGTTCCAAGTTTCGGAGTAACTTCAGGTTTATTGGTGGGTGGTCCTATGGGTATATCTTCAGCTGGCTTGTCGATAGGCTCCGAAGCGTTTGATGGGCTGTAGATAGCTTGGAACACGGAGTATGCTATGAAGAATACGGACACCGTTAGCCATCGATGTCGACGAGGCCTTCTCATCCTCTGAAAAGAAAGAGATGGAGATAGTTATTATAGGAGTAAGATAAGGACAACGAGATAAGATCGTTGTGATTTTGATTTGATATACGGATAATAGTAAGGTGTTATATGGGGTGGACTTTTTGCATTCTTGCTCACTAGATGGCACTAGTGTGTGCCTCTCGTTCTTTGTCAAATAGGGAATAAGCTGGTGTCACCTCATTAGATGTTTAATATTTGACAGCGGCTATGATTGGACAAAAATATTTTCCAACACTTGTGCTATTTGGTGCGTAAAAAACGGTAGCCACCATTGCAGTAGGGGTATAGAATCTTATAATTTTTTTTGAAACAATTATAGAAACAGACTTTCACTTTTACAATACATAAATAAAACGATAAAATCTCTTTGGCGCTAACTCATTGAGTACTTATCTGCTTTTAGTTGTAACTTGATCTGTTATTCGGAAAGCTTTGTAAAACCAATTTGTTCGTTTCAGTAGTCAATAACCTCAGCTGAACTGTGAGTGGTCCTTACTAAAGAAAAATGCTACCTAGTAGCCGGAAACCAGTGCGTTTGAATGTAAAAAGGTACTAATAATATGAAAAAGTATACAAATAGAAACTACAGAGCGCCGTCTACATACTTCTTTCGCTTCTACCACGTCCGTACATCCAGATAAATAAGTGTTGTATGAGTACTACAAAACTATCTTTTCCATTTCATACTTTAACTCAAAATAATAATATTTATAAATCCTACTCATTCATTGCAAGTATCTACCTTATTTTACATTTCTATAACGATTATTCTTTAGATATTACACGTGTCGCGATATCAGAATGACATGACGTTTCAATTTTTTAACACTTCAATGAAAAAGACGAAGGTAACTCGTCATTCAGCCAGCATAAAACCTTTTATTGATATTACATCGAATCGTCGCTAACAGCAGTCGGTAAGGTACTCGCTTTTAACGATAAAAATCATAATTTTATTATATCTGTTCGTAAAAATGTAAACGTAATAAATTTTGTGAGTTTATCGAGTGGCAAATTATCTGCTTTTATGTTGTATATAGATTTTATTGGGTAAATAAATATAAAGGTCAGGAGGCAGTTTGGGCAAATTGGCTACGGAAAGTATAAAAGAATGAAGATAATTTTTATAGATACCAATTAACTTATAGGTATTGTTTTATCAGACACGAGACCGATAGAGGTCTTAAGTTCAATTCACGGGTTGTTAAGCAGTAGGTAGCAAGAACAATTACAGAGATTTACTATATTGTGAGTAACTTGCATCATTGATCAAACCACCAGCAAGTATAGGGTATAAGGTTTGGTTCCTAGTTTTGTCTAATAGTTACATTTTTAATACCTAGCAAGATAAGTTAAACGCATTATATTGTGTTACGCAGTTAAATACATATTATATTTTCGAATCAACCTCAGAAAATCAATAGTCATTACATTAATATCTACAAGTAACAAATCAACTGCACCCTAAATCCAAAAAAGTCTTTATACCAACGACATAAGGTTACAAATCGCATTCGCAAGTCAATTTGGCGGTTCAAAAAGCTAGTTCCCTTTACGAAACTGTGTTCGTAGGAATGACATGGCATTTTCTTTGCTCGATCAATCACTGGAGTGACGTCACTAAGATAGGACGCGTTTTAGCGCGCTTTTCCACTGCCAGCCATTGCTGAGGTCGTTGACTTTTGGATTGCGGTTGGAGCGATTCAAATAATAAATGATGTAGCGTTTTAAGTTATAAATCATTCGATTCGATTAAAAATATAACTTTGAAAAGTGATACGATAAATACGACTGCCCCGTTGGCCGAGTGGTCGCAAGTGCGACTGCCAGGCAAGGGGTCTCGGGTTCGATTCCCGGGTCGGGCAAAGTATTACTGGGCTTTTAAAAAAAATCTCAGTGTAGCACGGAGTCTGGATATGTGCCCGGTATATGGCAATAGGCTCACCCTCTATTACATGGGACTCACAACATTAATAGTGAATAGTGAGTGTTACCTTTGTGTGCACCTGCCTACCCCTTAGGGGATAAAAAGGCGTGAGGTTATGTAACGTGTTACGATAAAATATGTCCATTTGTCTGTCACCTAGTATTAAAGTCTGTGTTCCATCTAAACGTCTAAGAAAGCAACTTGTAGGTACGCGTGATGAGCCATGCGACACACACATACATACCAAGATTTTGTTTGATTGATTTTGTAAGATTATCCTATACTAGCTTTTACCCGCGGCTCCGCTCGCGTCATAAAAGGATAAAAAGTAGCCTATGTGACATATACACACAGCGCCATCTATACCAATGATTTCGTTTTTCCTCGAGAATATCAAAATTTTCCGGGATAAAAAGTACCCTATTATTTAATCCAGACTTCTAACTTTACGTCTGCAAAAATTCAAAGCAATCGGTTAAGTAGTTACGGCGTGAAAGCGGAACAAACAATCAAACTCAGTTTCCGATTTATAATATTAGTAAGGAGTAAGAATATGTCATTGTATGTTTAGTTTATAAAACTTGCGATTATAATTTGAAAATCAAATAACAAAGAAATTAAAATACACAAACAAATGCTTTACATTACGACTACAATCCTTTCAACAAAACAATCATATTTACGATAAGGAAATCCGGATTTGTATAGAGCTAAAAGATAAATACGTTTATTTTTAATTCTTTGAGTTATGTTATTGCTATAACATGTATACTGTTATTGTAATTGTAATCTAAACTAGATATAGAAATAGTAAGATAGAAAAGTAAACTATGTTCCACACAGTTAGCGTCTTTGCAATCTGCAATAATAATAGTATTTACAGTTAACTAAAAATAAAGAATAATGTATGGAACATAAATAAGTCCAGACTTGACGAAAAGTTAAATAAATAATATATTAAGTGTGAGTAACGAACTTCTGCACTTCCCAATAATCAAAATAGAAACTGGATAACAGAACACTTTCAAACAGCGATCTTCCACCCGCGTAAATGTGTCGGAAGCAATGGACAAGCGCATTAAGGGTGTGAACAGACGATTCGACTAGAAGTCGAGTCGTGACTTTACATCAATCGTCTTATGTGGAGAGAGACTATATGACTGAAGTGTGTCATGTGATGTAGCAATGAAGTCTTTTTGTTAATTCGATTTTTCTTCTATTCCTTTACCTTATCATTTCGTAGAATTATTTAGATATATAACATAACACTCATTTCCATCAGTTGTGTATAAGGGTCATGTAATAGAGGGCGAGGGTATTAGCACAAATCTAAACTACGTACTAATCTAAAGACGAAACTTCTTGTCTAGTATCTTGACGATTTTTTCGAAAATTACTCATAGTGAGAGCACGTAGTATATAGCAATACTTTTTTTAAGGGAAGAAAATCATCGAATGACTTCTGCCGCCTGTGTGAGGCGGGAGGAAGCGTCAGACTCTTACGGACTAAAAACCACACCGTTTCTACTCCTACACTTTGAGCCGGAGCCCCGGTAACAAGTTAGGTTCTCCGCGGCTCCGAATCGGCATCAGCCCTATTGGGCCCCATCCGTGGTGGTCTGATGGCTCTTTGGCCTCAAAGAGCCATCAGACCACCGCGCGCGACGCGCTGTACGCTCGGGTAGTATATAGAAATACTAGACAAACAACACTTCAAACTTCACAAACTTCTTGCTTGCTTGGTAGTGGATTTTGTAACCGCTCGACTATCGAGGCAATCCTACCTATACATGTCGCGGAGAACCTAACGGGTAACCGGGGCTCCGGCTCGACGTGCAGGAGAAGGAACGGGGTGGTTTTTAGTCAGTAAGAGTCTGACACTCTCTCCCGCCTCACCCAGGCGGGAGCAGTCATTCGATGATTTTCCACCCTTAAAAAAAAAAAATCCTACCTATACATACAGGGTATTTGTAATTGTAAATTTAACTCTTCCAAAAACTGAAGACAGGTGAAGATGAAAACCAAGTTTGATTTTCAAAGTAACTAAGTAAATTTAATTTATGTATTCATAGTTGTAATCAAGGTTGATGCTGCATGAATAACACGAGAACAAAAACGATTAAGATTGTATAAACAATTTTTTTTCAGAAGCGTTCCTTTTACATCTGTATAAAACATCTTTCGTGTTATCATCAAAGGAAGCCTCCCTGAGCTCAGTAACAAGACGCACGCTTGTAATCCTGTTCGCAGTATCAGATCGAGATGATCTGTCGTTTGACATAGCCTGCCATTAATCTTGAAGATTTGTAGCGTTGTGACGTGAGCTAAATTTTAAAAGCAATGTGATTTTAGATTGTCGTTTATATGCAAAATTGTCTTTTATTTCTCTGAGGTAGTGGGAACGCAATTTGTCGTGTACCAGACACTTGACACAATTTAAGATTTTTGCCATTAACAGTCTTGTTTTTATAATAACTATCGTGAGACTTACTAAATTAACTAAAATCGTGGGTTACTCAGTGAGCTGCGCGACGTCGACGCGACCGCGCACACTGCTCATGAGGAAGAACCCCTCTGTGGTTCGAAACTGGTAGAGCTTTTCTCAGTATATTCACGTGAGTAACCCGCGATTTTATTAACAGTCTTCATTTTGATAACCAATAAATTCTGTTTTTTTTTGTTTGTACTTGTTGCGTCGACGTTTGGTCCCTGTCTCGTTTGGTGGGAAGCAATGATGCGGTCATTTAACCCTTTTTACATACTTATAGGTAACATTATTTGACGCAACTCTAAAGTAATTTATTTGAGGTCTTCAAAGTCACTGCACCGGTTAACTAAAACTTGTTTTTATGGACCAGTAAAATTGTTTCCTATTGATTTTTATGTACATATACGTTTTTTCACAAAAAAACATTAATTGAATTACACACAATAAATCAATTCGACAATTTACGAACGTTGGGCTAAGCTACACAATATTGCATTTAAATGTTATTCATCACATTATTATATTATGATTCAAGACCCCTATCACACCAACAAGAAAACAGCTAAA